AATAACTCCCATGAATAATAAATAGTTATACTGTTAAAATAATATCTGGGAAAGCGTATCGCTATCAAATCACTTAGCGAATGGCTTCCTAAATAATAGTGGTATGATTAAAAATTTAAAGGAGTTACGTCCCGCGCATACGGTTTGCATTAAAATGCCATGAATGGCGTTGTAATACTTCCACTTATGTATGTATTTGTATGAATGTTGTACATTATATGTATATCTATTGTATCCTATATATTATATTACAAAAATATAAGTAAGTATTTCTTTATTTTATTTGCAAATTTATATAAAAAATAAACAATTTCGAAAGAAATGTTGATAACAATTATAAGATAAATACAGTTTTTAGCTGACAATGCAACTATTTTGAATACTGGTAAATATCAAAAAATATTAAACAAAATATTTTACTTCACTTCTAATTATTAGATTTAAAGTGATTATTATATTGAAAATTTTGAAAATATTTTTGCATATCATCACGATTTTTTAAAATTATCTGTTGGTTATTTATAATTGCAATATTATATAAACTTATATCACAATGCTCTGATATTTAATATCAGTATTGGAAGTAGAACTGTATAATAATCTATGAAAAAAAATTTTTATATATACTCGTACGTTAGATTTTTTAAGTTACATAGTTCTATACATTTTTATTAACTACGTTATTATTTCACTATGCAATCAATTCCAATGTAATTGAAGTTTCAGTGTATTTTATAAACTTGTAATACAATATAAGTAAAATAATGACTATATTCATATATTATATGTATACATATATTATATAAAACATATCATAATTGAAGTTTGTAGTTATAGAATTATTAAGTAATTTATATTTTTTATTTATAACAACTAATTCAATATTAATATTACTATTCTCTTTAAACCTCAATTTTACTTAACATCAGTGATATGTTCTATTACAGAAGGACAATTACAGTTATGTTAAAAACGCATAAAGACATTCATACAACCAATTACTACAACACAGCCCAACTATCCACCACAAAATTATTAAAATGAAAACAGTGATACGACAATTGCAAAAAAAAGGATTAAGGTATTTTCAAATTTTATTTAGGAAGTCTCGTGAGCTACGACTAAAAAAAAACATTTTTTTAGAAAATTTGGCTCTTCTTACAGCAATACACCTTTATATACGGTAACACAATGGGCCAATAGGCTTAAGTGGATCGCTAAGAGGTCGCCGGTATAAACTAACATAACCTAACAAACAGCAAAATAGTTCCATTTCATTTTTTTTTCTTACATTTTTATACCTTTCTTGTAAAGTTTTTCTCTTACATGCAAATATGTGCTTGTTCCGGATATAAATTGATTATTATAGTAAAATCTCTTTCTCTTTAACAATTTTTTGATATCTACTAGATAGTGGTAGTAGATTTAGCATTATTTTGGTAGAAGGGCATTTTTATGATTATGTGATAAACCCAGATCTTTGATGAATCATTGAATAATCACGATGCTTATTGGTAATACACAAATTAGTCAGTGAGATGGGTGGGACTCTGCAGAAACCCGCAAGCTATCAAAGAGTAAAGTGCCGATTTTTTAATATAACATCTTCTGTTACCGATTTTTTGTTTATCAAGGTAGTTTATAAACCTTTTGTCATGCATATGTTAAAATACTGACGTCATAACCTAAGCGACCAAAATTTTCTTTCTTTCTTTAAAGTGGTAGATCCCATAAAATCCATTATTACTCACCTATATACTGATTATAGGAATCATATTTTTTACGCTTAGACAGTTCTAAACAGCATTAAAATTATAAGCAAATTTTATTACTGTCCTCTGTGATATGTTTCCAGAATTTCACTTAAAAATACGATTTCTTGGTATTTCTTTTGGTGGCTTTTTTCGTTGCTATTATATTTTGACTCTATCATTACATTTTGATTTTATCATTATTGGTCACGTTTCCATGAAGTCAGCTATCAACAAACAATTCATTTCAATAGAACAAAATCGTCAAAAGTTTTTTTTATATTTATATCCATAAAAAATTAGTATTTGACTAAGACATTTACACTTAATCGAAGTTATAGACTTTAATATCTAACTCAACGCCTAATGATCAAAACAATCTAAAATTTTCACACTTATTTTTCATTTATCCTATTTCCTATTTATCAGTTTGAAATCGGTATGCTTTTCTCAGCTAATGCTTTAAATCGACTTAAATTTATTTAAATAAAGGAATAATTTCATTATATATTTTTATAGAAACAGGGATAACCGATGTTTAACTGTATATAATTCTACATACAATAAATATTATATACAAAAAATTTATATATATCAATTGCATACATAATCAATTAAAAAATTTTGTGTAAAATTGTGTAATATATAAAATAAAATTTTTAAAATAAATATATATAAATATATATTATGTGATTAATAAATTAATATTGTTTTATTTTGTTTCTTTAATAAAATCAAAATTAAAATTTTTTCAATTCACTTAACACATAATTTATTATATTTTTTTCTTCTTTACTTCAAGTTACTATCATTAACCAACTAGCTTGTAGCGTGGATTTTGTATAATTCATTTTCTGCAATTGCATCACGTACTTAGCCAAACGTGAACAAATTGTGCTACCACTGCTGCCAGTTAAAACCCACATTAACTCTCGTATGGCTGGCTTTCCCAACCTAAAGTGCAATAGCGCTGCACATTATTTTGTGATTAAGTGTCAGGGGCAAAAGTAAAGGGAGAGGCACACAAAAGATATATCTTTCATTATAAAACTCAATAGCGAGCCAGAGAAGTACAAAAATATAATTTTTTAAGTATTGACGGTGAGTTTTGTGTAAGTTTGTTTTAATATATTTATTTTAATATTACTATATATTATAAACAAATTTTGTAATTAAATAATAAACAAATATTACAAAAGAAAAAACAATTTTCTGTATTTTTCATTTAATACGATTTTTTGAAAATATTCGTTATTAAATTGTAGTTGTGAATTTTGTAATTGGCAAATGTTAATATGTTTGAAATTAATCTTAACAAAAATAATAATAAATATTCTATACATACGTTTATTGCATTAAATAAAATTAATTTTTTGAATACGGCATATGTTGAGCGAGCCTAACCTCATTTCAAAGCTTTTCAGTTTCATATTTGGTATAGTATTTTAGGCTACCAATGCTCATAAAAAAAGCTGTATATGGATATTGAGTCGATATGGTTATGACATGGATTCGACTCAATAATTATTAACATAAGGTGTGGTTCTATGAGGACGAAGCATATCGGTGGCGTCAGCAGTATTATTATTAATTTGTAATAAATAACACTACTGATTTATTATGAATTTTAGAAACTATTGTATTTTTAATAGAAAAATTGAGCTTCTATTTGGAATGTACATTGTCGAACACAATTTACCGTTAATTTAATTAACTGACACCAGGTCAACACTATTGTTTTGTTAATTTTCATTACATTAATTTATGTAAATTGATATGTACTCGTATGTAGTTAAAATAATAAATAGACTTAGACATTAGATAACATATACTAATAAAAAATTCAAATTGATGTTAGATAAACAAATATTCCATTTCAACAAACTTTTAAGAATATATTATTTTAAAATTTAAAATTTAAGTCATCATCTATGAGATCTACTAAGTTAAAATTTGGATTAGGTTAAGCTGAAATGGCGACGCTTTGATCAAAACCCACTTAAATTCAAATAATGATGCGTCACTACCACAGGTTAGCACTGTTCATAAACAGACCAGAACTATTCCCGAAAAACCGCAGCAGTCAGTGTAAAACAATGCTAAAAACTACGACTAAAAAGTATATAAAGTTGGACAAGTCCAAGACCCCAAAGATTTTGAATCTTCTATTAGCCAAAAATGAACACTGACACATGCGGTGGATTATAGTTTCCTTCTCATCAACAGAGCCGCTGCCCCAAGTCAATTTAGGGTAAACCCCATCCGAAAACATGTTTTTTCAGGAACAACAAATAGAGAATTTACAAATGACTTGGAATACACACAGAGGAAAAGTTCGATGAATCAATCAAAATTCACAGAAAAAAAGATAACATTTGAAATTTGAATATAAACATAGAGATTTATATACGCTTATATTAATTAAAAGGAATTTATTGGCGATGTCTTGGATATTACCCAAAGTTAAAAAACTATATATTGTATTTTAAAAACGTAATTCATCATTTTGTTCATATATAAAACTGACAGTGCTTTGGAGAAACAAACAATGTCAAAAGTATTCGATATTAAGTAGTGGTATCTTTCAAAATATAATAAAAAATGAAAATGGCATTAGAAAGTTGTTCTATGCCCAAGCCCAAATACGTGCCGTCACTATTAAAAACAAATAGTGTCATGCTCGTAACATAAAATTTGCTAAAAAAAAAAAGTATTAAAATAGGTACTCTTGACTATGTAATATAAATTTAGGAATTGATTATTTAGTATAAAAAACTAAAAGAACAATTTATGAATGACTCTGAAAACACACTACATTTTTAATATAAACCTATTTCAACAAGGTGCACAAGAAAACTCATCCAGAAAAAACGTTTCATAAAATCTTAGATATCTCAAAAACACCTCAATTATTAAATATCGTTTAATTCTAGTAAGTATATTTTTGTTGTAAGATTTTGAATCAACATTTGATCAACATTAGATCCCATTAAAAAATGTATTAAATATCAAATTAAAGAACATTTTCAATTATATTTAGATGAACCATTTTTCAAATATGATTAAATATGATTGGTTTAAAATTTAGATACAAGTGTCATTCATATATTTACATATTTATTGTTTAATCATATTCTATAAATTGCAACACTTTAGTGTTTATTATATATATTATATATTACTATTATTAGTATATATTAAAATTGGAACTATAAGCAATTAAAAATTTATTACTCTGTTATAACATACCTGATCACATATAATATCCCATTTCTTTTCATCATCGTAGTTTTTCAAAAGTTTAGCTTTGTCTGGTGGTAAATCCATTGAAGCCTGTAAATAAATAATAATGCAAAATTATATACAATGTTATTATTATATTTAAAATATATCGAAGCTATTAATTTAAAACAAAATATTGAAACTAACAATGCACTTTTTTCAAAGATTTTTGTTAAAAAAATTAATTTAATAAATGAAACAAAAATTAATAAATATATTTAAAACAATAAATTAAATATATTTTCTATAAGCTAAAGATATATATATATAATAAAACTAAAAATTAAACTCCTTCACAAATTTCAAATAAAATGATATAGGAATTTACATAGAATGTTAGTTTGCAGTTTTCATTGAACCAAGTCACACCTTAAATAAAAATAAACTCTATTTCTCTAAAACAGTTTTTATACTAAGAAATGTTCAGGAGATATCAATCGATGCCGGTATAAGAAAATGTTAAGGTTTTTTCATAATAGAACAAAACCAACGCAGTAAAAAATGAACTCGAAAGATGAATGAACAAAACATAACCGTTGCCGACCAGGAAAGCAATACAATTGTGTATTTTGTGATTTATGGACGACAGTTTTAGATGTTTAACTTTTAGTTATTCAATAGGAACATTGAGTATATATGTAAGTTTATATATATTTCTGTTAATAAACTAGAAATATTCAATTAAAAATATAGAAACAGTTTTAAAAACATACATACCAATTAAACAATATGATTTAAAAAGAGAAGTGGGTGAAATTTGTTAAGGGAATTCAAATCAAGTTAATAATTATAGATCTATATATATTACTGGCTTTTTTTTACATAAAATAATTAGAAGAATTTATTTTCAATAGACATGTAGTAAGAAAATGTGGCAACGTTCTCTTAGCGAAATAGTTAAGCCAATATAATATCTTGTCATATCATTTAGCCATCAAAACAGTTGGCAAATCGAATGCAGCAACTACATATATAATTAATATATATGTATATATTATATTTATATTATAATAATATATATATACATTATATAAATATTTATATTAATATGTATATATAAGTATACATATATATTAAATTTTACGTATATGTGTAGGCTCAATCTTGAGAAAAAACACGTTACATATACATACCAGTACAGATTGGCCTCACTAATACAATACTATTTTATACCAAACTATGTTAAAAAATCAGTTTTTCTATCATAATTATAAACGAACAGAAAGAAGTAAATTCAACCAACATTCTTTTAAATAAAAATGTCAATCAAATAAGTTAAACATAATTATTGTCATATACAATTATGGCATTCATCGTTTAATCCATTAGCAGTGCTATCTCAAAACAAGCAAGGAATTGTTTGGAACTGACTAGACTCTGTGTAATTCTATCCACTTCTGGCCAGCAGAATTAAGTTTATTTACTAACTAACTGTTAAGAATCACGGCTGTAATGTTGTAAGCAAATAGTTTGAGTGTCATGCTATTTAGTTTTTTAATTATGCAAGCAAGACCTTTGGTGCTGACTACTTTGACAGGTATTTTTACCATCGTGCCAAGCCAAGTGTGTTCACATTGCATCACATTTGAAAGTATACAATGGTATTTTAACCAAAAAAAAAAAAACGTATTTATTTTTCTATTTTTAATTTATACAAATTCTTTTAAATGTAAAAGCAAATAACTATTATTGATTTTAAGCCCAAAAATTTTAATTTTTTATATTTGGAAATTAAAGTAATTTTGAAATCAATCTTTCTAATTAGCATTCATTAATATTAATTACGATATGTTATACACATATATTTCAATGAACTTATAATTAGATATATTTATCTTAACTAGTCAGTATAGCGTATATGTCAATCATCAACAGAAATATAAATATTTGCATTTACAGAACCCATTTGTATAAATATTACAAAGTATATTAAATAGAATAACACGACAACATCGAACAAACAATATTTTTTTAATATTACTAAGTATAGTAGGAATTCTTTTTAATATGTAAATTTACACTAATGAATATTCAGTATAAATCAAAACAAAAAAATTCATTGAAGTAGCAACATTTCTTAGATTTTCAAAGATAGTTAAATTGGTAGCAGATCATAACGCGTTACCATTTAATTTGAATTTTCATAAAAAAAAAAAATAAATAAATTTTTCGGTTTATATTATTCGGAACTAAGAATCTGAATGAAATGAAATTAAATAATGCCTGTAACATCTGTATACAATCTGGACATGCTCCAATAAAAGGAAATCAAACTCTCTCATTAAGATGCCCCGTAGAGATATCAGACTTGTAGGTTTACTTATAGGTCATTGTATTTTAGGTAACTATGCCAAAAGACTAAATCTCCCTTTCAATCATACCTGTCGTAGTTATGGAGAGGACGATGAAACTGCATTCAGCACATGCGCGGCGCCACCTTATTTATCTCTTTAAGGACTTTCATTTTTAAGGATCTTGGCGAACTGCAAGACCTCCCACTGAATAGCATTATAAGCTTTGCCAAAGGTTTTAATTAATTTTATAACCCTTGAGTTTTTAGTAATTATACGGGAATACAACTATCTTCTAGGACTAAGTGGATCGCCGGTTTTACCTACCTTTTATGATTTGACAAATAAATCTTAACATTTCACTTCACTTGAGATGTCTATTAACAGAGTTACAAAAATGTTACATTATTCTAAAAATTTTCGATTAGGCAACCAAATTCAACAGATCGAGAGTAAATCTGGCTTAAATCCAGATTAATGAATCGAAAACGGCATGACACATATCTACAAAAATTAAAAAAAATTACTGCAATAGGTACATACATACACAAATCCATAAAGGAAAATAGAAATCAAATTTAATGATATCTGATTGAATCAGAATCTTGTAGAACTTATCTTGTTTGGTATGTTTGAGAACTTGGTTAGAACCCATATAGAAGTTGTTTAATATGTTTGAGAACTTATTTTTTATGGATAATATTCATAAAGATTTAGGAAAAAACTTGACTCTTATAACAACAGAATTATAGTCATTCAAATCTCATATGCAAAAACTGTCAAAAATTCTAAAAATAAATTTGTTTTTTAGCGATCATTATTCTTTGTATTATAATTAGTTGTTGACTTAAAGCTCATATAAGCTACAGAGTTATTGATTTCCTCGAATGTTTATCAGCAAATGTTCTTTCAAAAAAATTGCTAAATGCAAGTCCCAAATTGGTTGTAGTAGGGTAAATACATAAAACTTTAAAAGTTTTTAAAGATTTAAACACTTAATTAATTTGTTATTTAAATTTAAAGACATTTTAAGTATTTAAAATCAATTTTTATAATATATATATAACATAAACAGTATTTTCGAACTGTAGTGAACTATAACAATAAAAATTCATTTTATATTATTATAATTAATTAAATTTTTAGCTGACCATACAGCTGCTTCAAGTATTGCCAAATACCCATCATCAGTGGTTTTGGAAATAATTCTTGTATTTAATTATTCATAAATAATTTTTTAAGGCTGCAAGTACCAGGAATCGAATGCGTGCCCTGCTAAATTTGAAGTTTAGAGTCAGCGCTACTTCACCAACTGACCCAAAGCCATACTTGACTTTTATGTTCGCACATTTTTCTGGTGTTTTGTTAATTTGTTGTGAAAATTTTAACAAATTTACTTGCTGTGTTTATATTAGAACGATATCCTAAACCAGCTGTAGAATAATTGAATTAATCATATTGTTTCATTTTTATTCTTTCTTATGTATAGAACCTAATCTAGGAAAATAATACCGAGAAGGTCATCCTAAAGTAACTAGTCACTAGTCCACTATAAAAGTTTTTGTTGTAGACCAAGTTTTGAAAAATATTTCCATATTAATTAAAATTACAGACAAACGGTGCATAAATGAAAAATTATTTTATAAAATACATCCATTAAATAAAACAATTTTAAAATAAAAAAAGTGAACTAAATTTAAAAAAAAAATATTTTTAAAAATAAAAAAAATGATAAAAAATGTTTAACTCTTTATTATCGGTCGTTCCAGTTCTATATAATACTCATACTGAACTTTAGTTCAAAAAAAAATGACACATTTATGTATTTTTTTAATATTGGATAAATTGATGATATGTCATAATAAATTAACAAATAATTAAAAAAAATAAAATTAAACAAATCATATTTCAACTTTTATGTGACTATAGTTAATACCAACTAAAGCGTAAGTTACTAACTGCGACGAAGATAGTAAGCTATTGCAAAACAAACGCATTAATTCTATTCATAACATTTTATGGTTACTTTAAAATAATTACATTCGATTCTATAAGTAGAAATAATGTATTATGTGTGTAGATTTAATTTCCTTTTATGTAATGTAAATTCTTCAAATCTATTTATAAGTGAAAGAGCAACAATTTTTTTTAATCTCAATCTGTTGCGTTTAGAAAATGTAAACGTTTCGTGCTACGGAAATGCTTCGATGAATGATAATTATTTCTTAGAATTCATAATTATCTGATGATATGTTTCTTGGTGTCTTAACATTTAATAGTTTTTATGTTGTATTTCCATTTAGATCAATTTATGATACATATATATACATATACCTTCAATGGAATACAGTTTCCAAAATAGCATCACATTAAAAATTCAAAAGGAATACATACATGAATGCATGGCAATAGATTTATAAGTAGTGCACTTTGACATCGTTAGTTTTTAGAGCTATGGATTAAAATATATTAAACACAGTGTTTATATTTATATGTACATATATTTTAGAAAATATGGTGCCAAAGTTATTAAGCTAAATTCGCAAAAAAATATATGTACTACATACGAGTACATTAACTTTAAATCAAGTATTAAAGGTTGAAATGCCGCCAAGAATCTGTTCCACTTTAACAGCGACAACATTGCAGACAATCCCAAGTGCAATTAAAAAATTGCAATGGTGAAATAGACACATTGAAATGTTTTAGAATATGCAATTTATTTCGTGAGTTTGACATGCAGATACAAAATAGTTTATA